TATATATATATATATATATATATATATATATATATATATATCTAAAATTAAATATTCTCGAATAGAGATATTTTTTTCTTTATTTTTTTTATTAAAAAACGTTTTTCTGTTTTTTTCTTTTTTATAGAAATTTCCCGACATTGCGCGAATGGTAGTGCAGCGAATATTAAGAAAGCAGAGGAAACGGCACCGTGTTTAGTCGGCAACGTACACCGGAAGTTGCATAGCCTATCTTTGCGCGGAATTGGATCGTAAAGAAACGGTAGAGATAAAATGACACCTGTATCCCTTGGAGTATTCTAATCTCTGCTTGACCAAACGGAGAACATTTTTAGCGTGCGTTCCCCATTTCTTTCGCACGTTCTTCGCAGCTTCAGGCAGAAGAAAGAACTTCACAAGTTCGAGAGAAAACGAACGAGAACATCCGAAGACGCGGTGGTCTTTATCTGTCGATCATTCGTTCGCATTAAGAGACTAATTACATTATTACCGACTTCCTCTCGGTATCCCCTAATGAACGGTACGCCAGCTGAAGAAATGTTATTTGGGTCGCCACGAGTTTTCCATTCCAAGAAATCTCATCGTGTATCCGATATGCATCGTGTACACTTCGAATACGCTTCGTTCATCGGTCGCGTGCCATTTTCTTTACTTGTTATCGACATGCCTGCTGTATACATACGAAAGTGGAGTTATTTGAGTCAGCTAGCATACATCGTCAGTTTCGACCTTGAACTTTGTACAAAATAATCAAGCTTATTGTTAAACCGTTTTTGTTCAAAAGAACAAACAAAGCTCAGGATGTGGGAAACGTAGTAAAGTTATGTAAAGTTAATATTTAAAAATGAAGGTACAGTGGAACAACAATGCCCATTTAATTTCTGTTCTCTCATGAGCATCCATGGTTTATCTATTGTATATTGCATAACACATTATTAGCTGACTTTTGATTACTGCATATTTTAAATAAGAATGTTAAAATAATTTCTGCCTAATTTTTAGTTTCAAGCCGCATCGATGATTGCCGAGGGAAAGAGGGAAAGAGGTAAAAAGGTAAGAAGGAAGGTTAAAGGAAAGGGAAGATGCACGTGGTGAAATGTCACCGAAGAGCATGTAGAACTGTAGAGGAGCGTGGATTCCATGGTAGCTAATTACCATAAGGATACGGTTCACCGATGCGGTCTCTCTGTCGGCTCCTTTAACGTCCTCTGCAGGTCCTCTCGCTGCTGCCTTCTCCGATAGCGACGAGAACAATTTCCACGGAAATTTGGAAGGGCTTGCGCCCTAGAAAGCGACGGGAATAGAAAAAGGTTTCGCGCGAAGAATACACACGACTTGGCAAGCTAATGTGTTTCGTTTCTAATCGCGCGTGTTCGACTTTGTCATGTTCGAGGCTCAGCCAGCGCAACCGTAGAAACCGTGAATGTTTATCGGTGGTCGAGAAACCGTTTTCGAGGAAAGTCGTGTGTCTTCTTAAGATCGAGAGGGGAGCACACACACACACACATACACACACACACACACACACGTGTTTTCGACGTACGCAAAGATAGTAGAGATAGGGAAGATGGAAACGGAGTAGAATTGATTAATCGAACGAAAGGGGAGCAGGTTGACCAAGAAACTTTTGTACTTTCCCAAAGGATGAATGGCTCCACTGGGGAGACGGAGAATATGGTTCATAATAAGGGATTGTAACCCGCTGAATGAACCGGTGTGTTCCGGTATCTTGGTCGTCAATGCCGACCTGTCGTCGACTCTTGCTACATTAACTACTGTTCTACAAATCAGCTCCCATTACTGCGAAGATAATCTCGTTAACAAGGGAGGACATCTTTGAACGCATCGTCACCTTCGATGACTGACGAGAGCGCGTTTATTTCGCCATGTATTTCCGAATCGATACGTCGATCGATTAAATCCACGATTTTGTTTCGTCGTCACTGCGCGACGTCTTGCGAAAATACTAGGAATATTTCGTCGAACCTTCCACTGGATATCGAGTAACCATTGAGTGACGTTTCTTGTACCAAGAATATGGTACATATATTCGGCTTTATTACGCGTTGAGTGGAAGACGAATAAAACGGTTGAACGATTAGAGGACGATGAATTCGACGCGTCTCGTTCGAAGATCCGTTCTCTGCGTTCATCTCGAAACACTACGTTCGGAGAACGCGGAGTTCCAACGAGACGCCTCGTAAATCACGCCGAGCACCCATTACAACTGGCTCTTCTTGGTCCCCCACCTTCACCCGTGTTCTGTCTTAGGTACCCTCGCGAGTCGATGTTTCAGATTTAATTTCGTACGAACATAATTAGTGCCGGTGGCAAACGTTCAGAGCGGTCTCGCTCTGTTCGCAGCACCTGCCGCTCGAATCTTCCTCGAAATCGTCTTTACGCGGCTTTCGATCCTCGGCTCCTCCTCCTTTTCCACATCTCTTCCATCATGCTCGCCCATATTTTCGCTCCATCCCGCGATCAGTATCACGGGGATAAATCTGAGGGAGCCGAGTTTCATCGCCAATTAAAGTGTCCTTAAACGCGAGACCTGTTTGAGAGTTTCGGCCGACAACCGAAAATGAGACGATACGTTCCGCACGGTGGGATGCTTTGATCTGTTTTATTTTACATTGTTCTCGTTGTTTCGATTAGGTAGGTGCAAGTACTCGAGACCGGTTTCTAATGTTAATTTTCGTATATATTTTCATTTAATTCTATGATTTTGTGTATATTTTCATTTAATTCTATGTATTTTTCAATTAATTAATATTTCTTCAAGTAACTCGAAACCTTTTTACCAGAGGAGATATTTTTTTCAAATTTTTTCTACTCTTATCCTTATTAATCGTATCACTTGATTTCGAACATTAGTATGCAAATTCTTTGAAACGTGTTATACAGCGCATTTACATTTTTAAAGTTCTCTGTTTTATATCCATTTAGTATTTTCAGAATCTGACATTATCCAATGCTATCTTTCAGGTTCAGTTTGGAAGAAGAAGAAGAAGAAGAAGAAGAAGAAGAAAAAAGAAGAAACAAAGCCAAGAGGAGAGAAATATTCTTAATTCTAACGAAGAAAAAAGAGCCGTCGAAATTTTCAAACAGAAGCAAACCTTGAAGTAGCTTGCCCACTGCGTCGTCTAAAGAACTGGTGCATTGCTCGTTGCTGCATTGTTCGCTGCTCGACGGTCCAGCTTCCGTTTCCGTCGCAGCAGACGATAAGCCGCTATCTTGGTGAGCTTCCATCTTCCAAGACTCGTTACTTCTAATTAATTATCGTAGATATTCACATTCGTGATATCTTCTTCCTCGTCGAGCTGTCTCTCTTGTTCCTGGTGAGGCACGATCGGTCGCTCGCGAGCAACGAATTTCACTGACAATGAAACATCGAGCTCATCGATCTGTCCGCCGCTTTATGTCCGAGCACTCTGTTCTTCCTTCACGGGAAACGCGTCGAGTGGGGCATCGCAAGGAACCAGCGATGAAAGCGAAAGAGAAGAAAGCTGGGCAATTAATCCGGGATTATCGTTTCGCGATTTGTCATAAATCGACGCTTCTTCTTCCTCGTGGTTCGTGTATCGGCGTCGCATCGATTTCCGCCGCTCGTTCAACGACAGACCCTTCCTCTTCTTATCTCACTCGATAAATATCACGTTCACGGCTCGATTTATTCCTCTCGAATTGGCTGGCACTTACTCGCAACGTCGCGAACCTTTTAACTTCCCCGGAGACTCGGTCTCATGAATTTCTGGCAATTCTCGTAGGTGTCGACGAAAGGGGGAAGGAAGAAAAAAAAAACGTCGTGAGAGATAGCACTCGCGATGACGATGGTTGAAGGGAAGTCTGATAACCGACCGACCGACTGACGGACCGACTAGAAGAGAAGAAAGATGAACCACGGATCGACGAGGACCGTGAAGGTTCATTCAGCGAGCACCGCACAGGTTGGTCCGTACGAAAGAGGCAGAAACGACGAGCACACGTCTGGCACACGCACCAAACGTTGGATGGTAGATCGCGGAGGCGGTTCCGTGGACCACCTCTACGTCTGGTGGGGGGTATCTAGGATCTTGTTCCTTTTCTGTTCCTCTTCTCGGCTCTGGCTCCTCGACTCCTCTCTCGGATCCTTCGCGTGTTCATCCTGCGTTCATCGAAAATCAGTATCGCGAGACGGTACGCTTCGTTCTCGAATTCTTAACCACGATTCCATTGTTCGACCGAATTAGAACTTTTTCGCGGTTCGTCGGGGTTTTCACGCGCGTGAAAACCGTCTTTTGCGTCGACTTTCCGCC